GAAAAAGAGTTTCTATAATGAAAAAGATTAAAACTGATGTTTTTGTCTGGTTTTTTTTTTCTTCTTGAGAACCAGTGTCTGTGGTAGGTGTCAGGGACTATTTTAAGACGTTCAGAGAATTAATTGTAAACAGTGTTAAATGACAGTGAATGCTTATAACTGTAGGCGCTCTGCTTATTCTATACACTGACTCAGAACTTTAAAAATTGGCTCATACTGATTAGCCGTACCCAAGTGATTTACAACTTAACACGCATGTTTATGTTACGGTTAACGTGTATTTATAGGTTTAAGCTAAGGTTTAAGTTAGTGCATATAGTTTTTGTCAATCTCTGAATATCAAAATATATTTTTTAATCATCCATATGTATATACATTACACTGATAACTCACGGATTTTATCAATAGATCTGCAAATCTACAAGTCATCTTATCGTATCCTGAACATAAAACTAATCCATCCGCCACTTATCGTTATGTAATGGTACCAACGGATCGTCCTTGGCGAGGCCTACATGCACTTGGGTACAAGACTGCCAGGGGATGAAACTTGGCACCAAATCCCCGGCACAAAGCACATCATTAATTTGATCAGACCGCTCAACTACACACTCCGCCATCTTTCTTCTTCCAGTCTCATCCGCGGGAGTTCTTCGAGGGTTTATTTACAGCACCCCGTCCAGAAGTTGATTCATTAACACAGATTTTATTTGATGTTTAAATTGGATGGTTTAAACCAGTGAGTTCGTGATTTAATGAAGGGCAGCATGGCACAGCACAAACAAAAAGTGGGTCGAAATTGGGATATTTGTTGTCTGGTGGGGGGGGGGGGGGGTTACACAGGGGGAGGGGGGGGGGGAGTCAAGAAGTGGGGTTTAAAAATAGTGTTTTTTTCTTCTTAAATCCTCTCTGCAACTGAGGGAAACCACTTGAGCAGACTGCAAGCAGAAACAAGTAAACAATCAGAAGCAAGCATGAACAAATAGAAATAAGCAGAAACAAGTAGATACACGTTGAAATAGTATACATAAGCAGAAATAAGTTGACACAATAAGATACAAGCCGAAACAAGTAGACACAGGCAGAAACTAGTAGAAACAAGCAGAAACAAGTAGACAAGCAGAGACACCCACAGTTATCCCCGTCCCGCACCTGGCCATTAGCCCCAGTAATATCACCCCGGGGGTCGGGACAAGAACTTGCTAGTGTCTGTTTTCATACGCTGATAAAATAAGAGGGTCGCAATTTTACAACCCTTACGGTAAAGTTCCGGTGGCGGAATTCAAGCAAACTTATAACAAAAATATTGTTATAAAAGTATTACTTTCTATTTATTTGTTGTTTGCTATATTCATGTTAGTCAAGGATACATAGCAGGCCTTAGATAAGTTTCTGTCTTCAATGATACATACCGGTTTTAGATTTGTCTGTCTTTAATGATACATACTGGCTTTAGATTTGTCTGTCTTTAAGGATACATACAGGCTTTAGATTTGTCTGTCTTTAAGGATACATACAGGCTTTAGATTTGTCTGTCTTTAAGGATACATACAGGCTTTAGATTTGTCTGTCTTTAAGGATACATACAGGCTTTAGATTTGTCTGTCTTTAAGGATACATACAGGCTTTAGATTTGTCTGTCTTTAAGGATACATACAGGCTTTAGATTTGTCTGTCTTTAAGGATACATACAGGCTTTAGATTTGTCTGTCTTTAAGGATACATACAGGCTTTAGATTTGTCTGTCTTTAAGGATACATACAGGCTTTAGATTTGTCTGTCTTTAAGGATACATACAGGCTTTAGATTTGTCTGTCTTTAAGGATACATACAGGCTTTAGATTTGTCTGTCTTTAAGGATACATACAGGCTTTAGATTTGTCTGTCTTTAAGGATACATACAGGCTTTAGATTTGTCTGTCTTTAAGGATACATACAGGCTTTAGATTTGTCTGTCTTTAAGGATACATACAGGCTTTAGATTTGTCTGTCTTTAAGGATACATACAGGCTTTAGATTTGTCTGTCTTTAATGATACATACAGGCTTTAGGTAAGTGTCTGTCTTTAAATAGCCTAGCAGCCGAGTGACGTAAGAAGGATATTTCTGTACGGATCTGATGGTAGCTGGATGTTTAGTGCTGAGTTGAGAAGAAGATAGGGCAGTACTCACACTGTGCAGTCCCCAACATGCACACGATCATTTAAAAACTGACGCTGGAAATAAATGCGGAGCTGTGAGTTATCTCCCTGTAGCAGATCTTTAGCGGAGAAAAAAAAGGACGAAATCTGGAAATCGAATTCTTTAGACTTTACTTCATCTGGCACATCAAACATAAGAATGATTCACACATCAAACATAAGAATGATTCACACATCAAACATAAGAATGATTCACACATCAAACACACTTCACACATAAGCATACTGCATCTATATAAAAAAAAACCATAAGAGATCACTAGGCATGTGGAAACAATGTTCATATAAAAACACTTGCCTGGTGCTATAAATAGATTGGTCTTTATTTCAAACGCGACTAGCTTAAAATAATACAGAAAAACAAAACAACTCAATACACAAGTCGTTTAACAGAACGATAATTAAACTGTTGATAAACAATGGCTTAAAAAAACAACAGAAAAACCAAAACAAACATTTTAAAACGGGTTTTGAGGGTTGTAAATCATTAACATTTCAGAAAACTAACGTTACGGCAGCAGATATGAGGTTAGTTAACAAAATATGATGACATTTAGAATCCAAACTTCCTTGCACTCTGTGATAGCTTTCATGGACATGAACTAACTTTCCAAGTGTTGTTTGTTATTGAATACAAGCTCAGATAGACTAAAATATAGCCATTATAGTCTGTATTACCTGACTTTGACAAACATATCACCATTATAGTCTGTATTATGACTCAGTCTTAAATCTTTATTCAGCATTTGGCAGTCTGGACATTGTTAGAATGGTCTCGGCCTATGCAGGGGCGAGGGGTGCGGACTGCACCGGGTGACACCATTTAGGGGGGTGAAACCAAGGCAAAAAATAGCAAAATATATACAGAAAAACTTGAGAGGGGGGGTGCAAATCGAAAGTTTGAGGGGGGGGGGGTGCAAATCGAAAACTTGAAAGTTTGTCCCCGGGAAGGGTCGCTACACCTCTGGGGGGGGGGGGGGGAGGTGACACCATTAAGTGCCGCACCGGGTGACACCCGACCTCGCTACGCCACGGGGCCTATGTATTGTTTATACATGTGACATTATCTTTTGTTATGTAATATTAATTTTATCTATATATATATATATTACGTCCAAGATAGTGATATCGTGCTATCCCACCATATCATAACTTACAGGCGGTGTTGTGTATACAACATACATATTTTTAGGATGGTTTACAACAATACATTTCTACTAGGCCAGGGGTCGGCAACCTTTTGAAGCGGAAGAGCCAAAAGTTACAATTTTCAAAATTTCCCTGGTTTTAAAGAGCCACTGACATTTTTTTATTTCAAATATTTTATTTTTTTATTAAGATTATTAGTATTTGTTCAAGGAGCTGGAGAGCCGCATCTTGATATCAAAGGAGCCGCATCTAGATTACAAAAAACCACTACATGATATTAAGATGAGGTGATTGCTAGCTTGTTTCTAATACTAACACGTGAGAAAACCGCACATTTCGTTGTCCCACACACTATCCCACACCAAATAACCACATACCAGTAACTTTCAGTCTTAGCAGCTCCCCCACACAAAGCCACTCATTATCCTAACTAATCCCACACACCAATAACTTTCAGTCCCGGCAGTTTCCCCCCTCAAAGACCAGAGCACCACTGTACTGCTGTGCATGTTCCTGTCTGCCTTTAAGAAAAGCCCACAAGTCTTAGATTTGTTGCCAGGCATGTTTACCGATTTCCTTGAGCGAAACGAAGAAGGAAATGACTTCTGAAGTCTGCTTTATGCCACGTCGGCTTTGTTTGGTCTGTGCGAGCCCATGTCTTGCCTTCCAACAATGCGAGTAACAGGTTAGTGTAAACACCGCGCCGAGCGTGTGTATTTCTTTGTGACCGCGGCACGCTCTAAACACGTTTCATTTACATAAAAAGCAAATACATGTTCTTTGCTTTGTTTTTGGTGAGCGTGGAATAAATTTTTATTTTAAAAAATTCAATTAAAATTACATTAACAATGCCATCCCAACCCTTACTGTTTTATGCGAACACATATATATGAAGAATTTTATGGAGCTCACCCTCGCTTTATACTTCTAATACTTAAACAGATACTCCGTGTAATAGCGCGATAAAATTAGAACTTTAGATAGAATTCTTTAAGTAATCTTTTAAACATTAATTAAACATCTAATTATGTCATTTTTTTTACATTACATTGTCATCAGGTCTAGTTTTGTTAAGTGGTTACAGTTTTGCTCGAAGTAAAAATCACGCGTAATCAAATCAAATAAACGTTCTTAACATTCTAAATATCTGAATGTTTTGCAACTTTAAAAAAAAAGTTTTTAAAATAAACCGACACCTGATTTGAATCTATGAAGCCAAAAGTTTTCGAAAATCCCCGAAATTTTCGAAAACTTTTTAACTTTTCTTCACATACATCAACATATTAAATTAGGATGTGGACATTCGCAGACTGACAACAACTAACCAAATTCTTACAGCCAACATTGTGCAATCACGTCTGTCACAATGTAGAGACAAGAATGGAGAAGACATTTTTTGATTTGTTAGTATTCAGTCTTTTACATTGTTTATAGATCTAGCCCTGCTGCTCAATCTATGAGTTATCCCTCCTGTCCACGGCTAGATTAAATAGATTACATTGTTACCACTGAATTCTTTATAGATCAAAAACAGGGATCAAGAAAAAAAAATGTTTTTAAGTTGTTGATGATTGAAATGGTATTTGTTATTCCGTAATAATATAAAAGTTTATAATTACAAATTACAATTTTTGTTTCTTTTTTTTTCCAGTGTAAAAATATCTTCGATTTTCTAAGACACCGCCCCTCCAGTCTTGTGACGTCACACGTTGTTATGATTCTAGAGTGACGTGCTTGTACCCACGTCAGCTAGCCAATCAGGGGTAGACAGCGAGCTGTAACCACGCCTCCTTCGTGTGCCACGGACACACCCACAACTGACACGTGCAATGGTCAGCGCTGAACGGATCCAGGTCACTTTAACGGGCGGGGCGCCATGGGGGTTCCGGCTTTCTGGGGGAGGGTCCCTACCTCTCACAATCAACAAGGTAAGAATCTCATGGATTTAAATTATTACTTATCTGACCAGTTCCCCTGTATCTGACCAGTTCCCCTGTATCTGACCAGTTCCCATGTATCTGACCAGTCCCCATGTATCTGACCAGTCCCCATAAATCTGACCAGTTGCCCTGTATCTGACCAGTACCCCTGTATCTGACCAGTCCCCATAAATCTGACCAGTTGCCCTGTATCTGACCAGTACCCCTGTATCTGACCAGTCCCCCAGTATCTGATCAGTTCCCCAGTATCTGACCAGTTCCCCTGTATCTGACCAGTTCCCCTGTATCTGACCAGTCCCCCAGTATCTGACCAGTTCCCCTGTATCTGACCAGTTCCCCTGTATCTGACCAGTTCCCCAGTATCTGACCAGTTCCCTGTATCTGACCAGTCCACCACGTATCCGATCAGTTTCCCTCTAACAAGTCTATTCTATTTGACCATTTTCCCTTTATCTGACCAGTTCCCATTTGGCCAGTTCCCCTCTAACTGAGTATTTCCCCGTCTGAACGGTTCCCTGTATCCAACAAGCCAATTCGACCAGCTACCACCACCCACGTATAAAAAAAAATTGCACTACGAATCAAATAATTCTCCCCGTATTGACGTCAGCATCTCGCTAAGATGACGTCAGCCCCTCATCACCTGCTTATAAAAACCTGACCAGAAAAAAAAATGGTTGCAGAAGTCTCTGTGATATTGTACATGGAACAGTTCCAAGTGCACACACGGGACCCGAGTGTTCAATAGATCTCTGGCTCCAGTAATACAAGCTAACCCATCTTCCCGGCGCCGAGATAGCCGGAGTAAAGGGAGACAAGACAACAACGGTTGAACAAAGGGAGATCAATCGGTGACCGGCTCACCCAGGGGAGACAAATAAACTTGGATGATTCGGTTGTAACTGAAAGAGTAACGATCGCCTTAGATAGGTTTCAACTCGATTACCGACCCTTTATATTATAAGAACCTTTATTGTTCACATTGTATCTATTATGTTTTTTTTCTACACCTTATATTTAGATATCAAGAATCAACATTTAGCAAAATTATGGGAATCAAATTTTAGGAAATGAAAATTTAAAAACAAACGGTTTGCAAACATAAGGATAAAATTTTTTCTCAAAAGATTTTTTTTAAAGCTTTATAATAGGAGGAATAAAATAAAAGCAACTGAAAATAATATAATTGAGCTTGAGATTGAAAAATAATGAGTGCATCAAACAGAACAAAATCTAATAAAAAATAAACACAACAAATATCGCATCAAGCGGTGCCATTTCACTTCTTGCTGGCACAATCTCGGCTTCATTAATTAGTGCTGTGCCAATCAACGGCCAACACCTGTATTACATGAATCCTGGCTACAGAATGTCAGCGTTACAGGCAACATGCAAAGTTTGCTGTCAATTAATGTATATTAATGTACACACCCAGCACCCAAATATTGTTCTGTCAATTAATGTTTGCAGCCAAAGTTTGTGGTCATTTAATGAAGCTATTTCCTCTAACAGACTTACAATACAAAAACTCATCAGACAATGGTATGAAAAGTACCCGACTCCTTATAAGTTGTAACAAAGCACTATCAGAACATGGTTTGGCTAATTTAATGAGATAAATTATATTGAAGAATCTTACTTGCACTTTTCGTTTTACTACTAAAGTTATCCCCCACCTATTTCTGATTGCTTAACCGTCAATCCGGTACCCTATGAAGTTATTCTCCCCCCCCCCCCCCCACTTCCGATTGCCAATCTGTCTATCCGGTACCCGATGGAAGTAAAAAGCTCTATCAGAGGACTAAAATACAAATCATTAATGAGAAGTAAAACACAACACTGCTTAAATACTGTGCTGTGGCCTGCAATAGGGGTCAAGGCTATGAACAAGCGGGGTTATAGTTCATCAACGTTTTGTGTAAAACAAGATTAAAATAGATCTCACATTTCAACCAAGCCAATCAGCACACAAGGCTATAGGACATAAACGTTTAGTATAAAAAAGATAAAAATTAATCCCAAGTTTCAACCCAACCAATCAGCAGACGATTGAAGACGAGAGATAATCTTTGGCAGCTGAAACGGCGTGAGCAAACATCCACACGTGCACACGTCGGATGGATCAGGTTCTTCCCCCCCCCCCCCCCCCACCCTCAGAGTTCAAGGTCACAAACAAGATGTTTCCTTTCTATCACATCACACCTAAAACACAATGCTTTCGTCTGGCAGACTATGTGAAATAAAAATTGCGCATCTAGGCCGCAATGGTTTGGTAAATATATAACAGCATCGGGCGCCATAATTGAGAGAAGAAGCGAGAGATGGGTAGATGGAGGTTTTTTTAAATCTCCGAGTGAGATAAAAGAGATGGATAACAGCGTAGACAGAAGAGAAAAAAATTAACTAGAAATACAATAGTTGGCAACAATGTACTATTTTTACATCACAGAACAAAACTGAAGAATATCAAATCCCCGTCATAGCATCACGTGCAAGATATGCGCTATGCTCACGAAATGTGCGTCTTTATTAACTCATGGTGAGCTAAGTTTCGACCGGCTCAAGTTTTATATTGAAAATGTGTCGCATTACAAAAGCAGGAAAACTTAGTCACTTACATTAATGACTTTATTCTTACTGCGAAAACACGAAAATAGAAAAAAAATTTTTTTTAGTAGGAACCATATAAATGAACATATGAACACTACTTCATCTGTTCGATTGATTACTAGGTAAATTGATGATTCGATTCTTTACTTTACTATATAAAAGGTTAGAATGGACTTATGTTTTGTTTTTAGGTGTGAAATATGACTTAGACGAGAAGAAGGCGTTGTTAAATTTGAGACAATTAACACTGCTAGTCGGTGTAGTTACCTCCTACTTAAGTTTTTGGAATTGTTTCCACCACCCCAGACCCCCCCCCCCTCAAGCACATGTGACACAAGAATATTTTAAACCAACCACTTCGCCATTTTGACTCCAATGTTCCTTCCGCCATACGTTCTGACGCCGATGTTTCTGACTCCCAGATTCGCAAGAAGAGTCAGGCTCACGTACATGGCCTCCTGGAGGGTGACGCCGTCATCTCAATCAACGGCGTCCACGTCCACGACAAGACGCAGGACGAGGCTCTAGAGCTGGTGGAGCAGGCGGGAGACTCTCTGGCGCTCGAGATCTTCAGGTCGGTACTGTCTTATTGGTTCTACTCTCTAACTTCTTATTTTATTCTTGGGAGGTCACATGGTTTTTATATTAGAAAAGGTAAAGGGACATTATGTGCCAATAAAGTAAAAGGTCATTATGTAAAAAAAAAAAGCAAAATGATATTGTGTAAAAATTAAGCAAACGGGCATTCTGTACAATTATGGGATGTCATATTTCAGAGGTGACATGGATGAGCTGAGCCGAGAGAAGCCAAAGAAAGCCATTCTTGTTCCTGGTGGCGTCATGGCCGCGCCCCAAGACAGCGCGCCACCTACCCTTCAAATGACGTCATCGGCCGATTTTGATTCCTTCGACACGGCAGAAAGCGAGCTCAGCTTGAGTAATTTTAAACTCATCACCAGCGTGGACGACATGAGCGCGTCCACATACAGCACGGAACAAACTTCCGGCTTGACCCTCTCCGCCACCGTGGGTGATGTGAGTGGAACCGCCTACGACACGGAACAGAATTCCGGTCTCATCCTCACCTCAACTGTGGATGACATGGGCGGGTCTACCTACAGCACGGAGGAAACTTCCGGTGTGACCCTCATCACCACGGAGGACGACATTTACTCTGAAGCCGTCCAGGAAGTCGAGTCGTCTCCCCTGATCCTGATCGACGCTGGCGACATTTCCACTTCCCAAGACACGACTCAAGTCGACGAGGTTCACTCCTCGTTCCAGCAAAGCAAAGTCTGCGCCGAGCCTTTTGTGGACTCTGTAGAGACCGCGAGTTCCCCGTCTCGCTATAGCCCTCACGTCATCGCGGAACCGGCTCCTATCCTTGTGCAGCCGGAAGTCACGGTAATCTCCCAGCCTGCACCTGGATTAAGTCCCCACAGCCGCAGTCCCGTCCCCCCTCCTGTCAGCCCCAAACCCCAGAGGTTCTCCAGCCCCCAGCCCCCTCCCGTCAGCGCCAAACCGCCAGGTGTGATGTCCACATCGGCTCACGCCACTTTCGATGACGGTCGCACCAGACGTGAGGTCACCTCTGAGCAGCACGTGCAGAAGAGCGACGACGGGCGCAGCAGCACCTTCGTCCAGCGAGAGACCGTCCACACCACCAGCAACTACGGCCCGTCCTACGTCCAGAACCAGACCTCCGCTTTCAACGTCGTCCAGTCCAACGGCGCGACCAGACGCACCACCACCAGCAAAACAACCGTCAACACGACGGCAGTCACCAACAAAAAAGGCCCCACCCCCTTCCAGAGCACCGTGTCCAGCAACATCCCCCTCCCCCAGCCCGCCCTCCCCACCAGCCTGAGCTCTGGGAACCTGACCAGCACCGGACCCTTGTTTAAGCCCACCAAGTTTGTACCTGGCCAAGGCAAGAAAGACATCCCTGGCCTGTACTCACCTTTAGTTGATGGGAAAGAAAATGCGCCCCCACAGCCAATGTTTCAGGTACTGAACAACTTATTGTCTTCCATTTATCTCATTCCCTCAAATATGACAATAAACATGACCAATGAAAGTATGAAGGTAAACATGACCGATGAAGTAAAGTTTTTATGTTTCTACAGCATCGGCGTAAGCACTGTTGAAAGTGTAGGAGTTAATTGAGAATTCCTTGGCTTCTGAGAAGTTTTTTTTTATCTGAGCTGATAATGCTGATTTAAATTCCAGCGTTGATTACTACATGCTTTGATTACATTTTTATCATATGTAGCAGAGTAGAACATTTATCAAACTGTAAACATTTGATAAACTTGGTTTTTTAGTCTTTAATTAGTGATGTAGAAATTTGTCTCAGGGATGTTTTCTAGTCTATCCACCCATATAGGACGAGATTATGTTTGTTGACTTAAAAACAAATATTCATATATCCGCGAGTTTAATTTACGTTTCAAATTCTTGTTGGACTGTTATTTAGATTAGTTTTTTTTAAATAATGATGGTAACTTTTGAACATAATTAAATACAACTCAAATGCTAAAATTAAAGACACCTACAATCGATCTTACCCTCCTGTCCATCAGGTCAAGAAAATAGTGCCGGACAAGCCACAGAGCAACACCCGGGATGTCTGGCGCCCCAACGTCTGGATATCAGACGGCTACCAGGACCAGGCCCCCATGACCCCCTCAGAGGACAACTCCCCCTACTCCACCCTCACCTACCCCAAGCAGCAGCCCGGCTACTCTCTTGTGGAGGAACAGAAGAGGCGACTTCTTCAGTCACAGACCTCCACCACCTCAAAGAACGAGTCAGTTCAGTTCTTTACTCTCGCACGCTCGCTGTCTTCTTCATCGTTCTTAATTGTAATGTTGGAAGTGATCTCTTCCAACAAAAATTGGGTATTACCTGTCAATCTGTCTTGGCCCGTTGACACCGACTTCAACCTGTTTTTCTTTCTGGATTAGCTTCATTAGACTTTGTAATTCAAGAACAAAGCACAAGGCAGCAGTTGTTTGATTTTGGAGGTTTTTTTTCTTCCCCAAGATAGGTTGCTGTCCCCTATCGAGCCTCATCTGCTCGGGGATTCGAACTCGGAACTTATCGGTTTAACAGCCATGAGCTTTACCGGCCCGACCACTTTTACTCCTTTCTCTTGCTCTCAATTGTCTAACCGTGTGTGTGTGTGTGTTTATGTGTATGTGTGTGTGTATGTGTGTGTGTAAGTTTGGGTACTTACTGTATTTAGTTTCCAAACATTTAGACAAAAAAGTTAGACCCCCTCACCCAACCTAAACTAGCTCCGCCCCTGATGTTGCAGGTACGAGGACTACTACAACGACCACTTTAACTCCCTACTCTTGCTCTCAATTGTCTAACAGTGTGTGTGTGTGTGTGAGTGTTTGGGTACATTTAGCGATAAAAGTTAGACCCCCCTCCCAACCTGAACTAGCTCCGCCCCTGATGTTGCAGGTACGAGGACTACTACACCGACCACGTGGACCAGTACGACAGTCAGCAGGGCCAACACAAGCATGGGCGTCTCCACGTGTTCGCCCCGCCCGTGGAGATCCACGCAGACAGCGGCTACCAGGAGTACTATGACGACATGGAGGACTTTGACGACGGCGGCTCCAGTCCTGACTCGTCAGTCATCAGGAGGAGAAGTAAGTCATTACAGAAGCTGTCAGTCATAAATGTAGCTGTCAGTCATGTCAGTCATAAACGTAGCTGTCAGTCATGACAGTCATGATAGGAGCTGTCAGTTGTGACAGTTATAACAATAGCTGTCGATCACGTCAGTCATAAACCTAGCAGCCATGACAGTTATATCAGTAGCAGTAGGTTATTTGAAGTCTGTTAAGGTGTCAGAGTATGGTCATTTGGAGTAGTCTCGTGTATGGGCGAGCGATGCTACTTGTAAAGATCGTGGATCTATACACAGTCAAGCGTTGGATGTTACAGTAAAGCCTCAAACAGTATGTTCACACAAACGTGTTTAGTTCTCTGAAATCTTAAATTAGTTTAATAAACGAAATGAGTTTGGGTTGATTAAAAAAAAAAGACAGACATAAAGATAAAAATAGACATGATTTAAAATCTACTATTAATGTTGTTAAGATGAGGAATATATAGTTTCCGCCTATTTGGCATTTGCTTCCTGAGACATTTCCGCAATCAATAAAAGTTTCCGCCTCTAAAACGACTATCTGTCTATATTTTTAGATTACAATACACCACGGAATTCTTTTAAATGTCATGCAGATAGGATAATTTTACAGGGGAGTTTTATTTCTATTGAGTCGGATTTTCTCAAAGCTACTTGTGAACTTTGGCAAGTCTGACATGAAAAACACTAGAGAAAATGTTACTGTACTCTCTAGCATACAATTCAGATGTGACGCACTCTTTGGCCAGATAAATATTTCAGTGCAGGAACCAAACTGTGAACAGGTGGTATAGGCATAGAGAATATGTTTTACTTTGTTAAAAAAACTCTTTCAACATAAATTATGGGAAAATAAAACCATAAGGTTTTTAATTGTATAGAGAAAATAAAAAGAAGGACGCTAGTTGGCCTGCTTTAAAGTTTGACCTATTTAAAAAGTTGTAGATTGTATTTTTTTTATAAATAAAAAAATTTCTAATAAAAACAAAGAAATTAAAATATTAGGTTGAAAAGTTGACTTCATTATAGCTACTTAATCTTTGCGCAAAGAAGAACTAAAATTGTGACTCAATTTCTGCCTATTATACTGAGTCGATGACTCATTCCCTTTTGTTCTCAGAGAAACTGTATTCTGACTCCGCCTTCTACGACGCACCTGGCAAGAATTACCCGACGATCACGGAGCAGATGAAGCTGTGCAAGAAGATCGCCCAATCCCTCACGTCTGCTGCCAATCGACGAGCACGTGGCGCCAAGATGTTCATGAAGCGGAAACGCAAGTCCAGCAAGTGGATCCACGAGGGCCACAGCGAGTGGTCGTCCTCGGCTGGTGACGTGGCTAATCTCCAGGAGCTGGACAGTGAGCTGAGTCCTGACGAGGGCGGGAACAAACCCCTGCTGTACTTCAAAATCCCGAGTCTCAAAAACCGCATCAGCAGCGACGCGAAGCAAACCAAAATGGCGTTGACCCAGGAGCAGTTTGAGAAACTGCGTCTGAATTCTAAAAAATGTGAACACACCGCCGTCCCCCCAGACACCTGTTTTGACATTGTCGCTGATCTTAAAGCACACAAGGGACGCGGTGGACGAATGTTCGAGAAACGAAAGCAGCGTTCGGATAAATTTGTTATTGACGAAACCAATGCCAAATTTCCCCACCCCAAGCCCTCCCCCTTCCCGGCGAAGCCCGCGACGAAAGAAAAAACCCCGTGGCAGGCCGCCATAGAAAATTCTGGAAACGTCGACGCAGCTTTCTCGCAGTTGACGGAGTGGGAGAAGAACCAACGGCTAAATCAAAGCGCCAAACTTGAGGGTCTGAACCTGGCGCCTCTGCCGGTGGTCAAGTCGACCCTCAAGTCTGACGAGTCGGTCCATCTCTTGGAGGGCAAGAACTTTAACCGCACAGCTAAAGGCTGGAGAGGGGGTGGAGAGTACCCCGTCGGTGAGTGACATGCATGAGTGACTTTTCTAGGTACATGATGTGGCATGTTACATACCCACGGCCATACAACATGGGTGATTTGTCTAGGTGCATGGTGTAGCATGTTACATACCCACGGCCATACAACATGGGTGACTTTTCTAGGTACATGATGTGGCATGTTACATACCCACGGCCATACAACATGGGTGATTTGTCTAGGTGCATGGTGTAGCATGTTACATACCCACGGCCATACAACATGGGTGACTTTTCTAGGTACATGATGTGGCATGTTACATACCCACGGCCATACAACATGGGTGACTTGAGGTACATAATGTAGCATGTTACATAGCTGACCTAAATACAACATGAGAGACGTGTCTAGGTACATGATGTAGCATGTTACATATCTGACAGAAATACAACATGGGGAACTTGTTTAGGTGTATGATTTAGCATGCTCCAAAGTTGACAGAAATCTATCACCGAATTGATTATAACTGCATCACTTAAATCTAAAGGTGTGTATACAAGAGAGAGATACAAGCTCAATCAGCATTAATTTAATAGGTTACTAAAATTAACAAAACTCAATTATTGTTCGTTTGTACCCTAATGTTCTAATGTTATGTTTTTCCCCAACAGCTGAGAAGATTCACCCAGTCGCCAACCCTCGCCAGAGACAGACCCCCCTGCAAAGCCCCGGGTCTAATATTCAACAATACAACACAAAAGCGAAGCCTTGGCAGGGCCAACCAGAGCCTAGCTATGCTGCCAACCCTGTTGCTTCAGCCAAGCCTTGGCAGGGCCAACCAGAGCCTAGCTATGCTGCCAACCCTGCTCCAACAGCCAAACCTTGGCAGGGCCAACCAGAGCCTAGCTATGCTGCCAACCCTGTTGCTTCAGCCAAGCCTTGGCAGGGCCAACCAGAGCCTAGCTATGCTGCCAACCCTGCTCCAACAGCCAAACCTTGGCAGGGCCAACCAGAGCCTAGCTATGCTGCCAACCCTGTTGCTTCAGCCAAACCTTGGCAGAGCCAACCAGAGCCTAGCTATGCTGCCAACCCTGTTGCTTCAGCCAAACCTTGGCAGAGCCAACCAGAGCCTAGCTATGCTGCCAACCCTGCCCCAACAGCCAAACCATGGCAGGGCCAACCAGAGCCTAGCTATGCTGCCCCACCTGCCCCTCCCATGCCTTACGATCAGAGAACCGTGGGGAGACAAAACACATGGCAGCCCACCAGGCAGGAAGAAAGCGAATGGCCAGCATCAAGACAGGGCCAACGCGTCAATGGCCAAGTCACTGGTCAACAAGCAACCCGAGGGAGATTTGAAAATCAGGGCCAAAGACCAAAGAGTTGGCATCCCGACAGCACGCAGGCCCAGCGGTACCAGGAGAGCAGTCATAGCCAGTGGTATGAGGACAACACACAGGCTCAGAGCCAAAGAGACGATTTAGATTTCTCCTACGCTCCGGTAGACTACAACTTTGGCTCGCAGGAATTTCGTAAAGCTGCCTACAGGCAACCTATCATCCCCGGCACAGATTTGTGATAGACTCTTCCCATGTGCGTCACGTCATCTGACTGATGTCTGACTGAATTCGTACGGTTTACCAGTTTACAAGTCCGATTGTCTTTTCTGGCCAGAACAATTTTCAAACTCTGGCCAAAAATCGCATCTCAGTTACCACGTTTGTAGACCTAGTATAGATAGAGGTGTTTTTTTTTTCCTGGCGTTGCTTAAAGCGGTTGATAAACGCTTTACAGTGATTGTCAAGTTCATTAGTCAATTGCACATGTCATATGAATTTACCTAAACATGTGTTTTGAAATAGCTACGTACTTAAAAAAAATTATACCGTTTCTGCCCATGTTATTTATTATTTCATTGCGTGACTCCAGTGATATTTTAACATACCCATTCATGTATCGCATAGAATAACACCTTTTAAGTTCATTTTTAAATTATGTTGATCATATTTTTCTTGTATACTTTTTTTGTAATTTTATCACAAGAATTGCCAAAGTTTGATTGCATAACTTAGAAAGTTATCGTCTGCAGTTGGTTGAAATATATCTTTCTGATTGTGTTCACTGCCTTCGTCATACACATATTGGATGAGTGCTGATGACTAAAACAGTAAGTCCTAGGAATTCAATGACTCCTTCAAATTTGTTCAGTGACTGGCTACTTAATTCATCTACTCTCCGCTGTGTGACAAACATTGTTTAAAAAAAAAATTAAATTACTACTCCGTGTACTTTGCAGAACTGTCAAAAAAAATGACTCCTCCCTGTGTGAAAAAAAGCCGACTACGGAATTCAACGAATGCTCCCTTGATTATATAAAATGGTTTTCAGTCTATCTTTTCATGTAGATATATTTTTTAACCAATGATGTCTATTTAAATAGTGCCAGCTGTATTTGATTTTTGCCATTCGTTTGTCCGAATATTTAAATTGTAAAAGAATTGTAACAGTAGTTACTTTTATTTATTCCTTTGGTTGTGATCACCGCGTGAATTATTATTACTTGTGTATATATTGGTCCTTGCAATGGTATGGCGTGATGGCGATTTGCTGGTACCGCCGGCTTAACCTTGAATATATTTTTTCTCACCTGTTTGATTCAGAGTTTACCTGTGTTCTGGTAGGCTAACTTGCAGGTGAATAAACGTTGTTTCAACGGCAAAAATAACGGCTAGAAATTTAAACCCGTTGTTGAAAAAGTACAATCCACTTACTCCGGAAGTGGGTTAAAAAAACATTTTCCTTCGAATGTGCCTTCGTTTAAATTTACCCCTGTTCGTTGGTTTCTTTAGGCGTGAAATGTTTTGAATTCAAATAATTTTAAAATGAACATTACTCATGAACAAGCAGGGCATGCAGACATTTTGTTTTCTTTAAATATGTGCTTTGTTTTTTTCAAAGACAACGGAAGTGTTTCTGCAATTCAAAATAGTGCAAAAGTAATTTTCAAAATCCTACTCGGTAAGTAATTTACAAAGCAAGCGTGTCATAATAATATGTAATGTCAATGCTGCTTGATAAAATATTTATGTTGATTGTGAAATGTATACCCAGTACATGAATGTCCTTCATGTCCTGTGGCCCTCAGTATTTGAAAGTCCTACGTGTCCTGTGTAAAATAGTTTAACTTTAAACCTGCAAAACTCGTATGAGATACTCCAAAGTGTGTTATGGTTGATACGATTGCACCCCAGTTTGGGAGATTGTGCGTTAACCACACCAAAAAGGTGAACTCTCACCCCCCCCCCCCCCCCCCCACCTCCCTATTAGGTTAAGCCTGCACAAGCTACACACCTTCTGTCAGTGCAGAAAGGTAACACGGTTCTCTCAGTGTGTTGTGTGTTATAAGTCAAGTCGTCTAAGATACGTGCTCAGAAAAATGGCGTCCGCCTAGGACGATTAAAAAACACTTGCTCATCTTACACTGACCAGTATCCAATTCTAACATCCAACTCGGGTCAGTAGCACATGCTAATATCCATCATACTAGTAACAAATGTTAACATCCATCATTGGTTAGTAACATTTTGTAACATCAAACACCGGTCAGTAACAAATCTGTAACACACTCTTACCTGAAAGTACTGCCGGAAAAAAAACCGTTGTTTAAAAAATATTTGCCACCTGGTGTACGCGATGAACCCAAATTTCGGAACTCTAAAGAAACGAAATAATAAAGTAAAAAAGCACTCGCTAAAAAGAAAGGAAACAAACTGTGCTCAAGGCATACGTATTAAACATGGGAATGTGATTTTGTATATATTATTGTAGATATTTTCCCTGCATTTTTTTGCAATTAAAGATGCATAACAATTAGTGAGTTCTTGTACTAGGCAGTTAAACCTACATGCAGTTAGCCCGTCTGTATTGATGATATCACCACCTTAATGAGCTAATATATCCATTTTCAAGTTTTCTCTTGCTTTCATTACGCCAGCTAGATCAAACACAGAATGGTTCGAATCCTTTTATTCTCACGTTTGTCTCACCTCTAAGTATCACCTGTTGACAACACCTCTACTAGGTATCACCTGTACCTTAGGCCTACGTTCATATCACCTTCAACCATATCATCAACATTTAGAGATTAACGGTAACTAACGTTACAAACACAACACTACATTCATACAGTAGAAATTGCTTGCAAGTATTGCCATTATCTGGTTAATAAACATCAACTATTTTATCATTGGCGGATCTAGGCGGTTACGGTCGGGGCGATCACCCCCTCCACACTCCACATAGACTGTGGATCCACCCAGACGATAGTTTTAAGTTCAGTGTTCGATGACAGATAAAACGTATATAATTACTTATAGTCTAGTTACAGAATCAGAATACACAACATCATCGATTACAAAATTTACTCTGAACAAATTTGTCAATTATCAACTGCAGGAAAAACTTGCTTTATACGGTAATGTTCTACATGTCCAGGAAGAAATACTTTTTTACAAATGTAATGCATATCTGGTTTAAAAATGTTTGAGATGAGTTTTATAAAGAGAGTTTTACATTGCATTTCTAGTTTTGTTACATTTTTTATAGACTGTATTTAAAGATTAAACTTTTGCATTAGATTAAATTTTTAACGAGTGCAGCTTATATTCTGTGTTGAAAGAGACTGTAAGACATCTTCTTCTTGTCTCCTAATTTACTCTAACTTGCCTATAGTCTTGTATTGTCTTTTTTCCTTCTAAATCTCAAAGCCTCACTACCCCATTTAGCCTCTAACTCTTAATCGAAATCATCAAGTTTTTTTTTTCTCAATTAGCTTGAAGCCAAACCAATAAACTACTCTTAAATCAACGAAGCCTTAACAATGTAAACATTAGCCCAGTACATTAAAATCTAATTATATGGGTTATTTATCTCAATAACTATCATAGCCGGAAAATCTAATGATAATTGGTTTAATTTAAAAATTAATAAATGTGTTTAAGTGGCTTAGTCACACACCTCTGCAAGATTAGGCATCGGTTTAATGTTGGTTATCGTTAGAACTAGGGCTTTGGTTATGGTTTTTGTTTACAGTATAGATAATCACCATGATTGCGTTAGTTTCCATGTAGTTATAAATGTTAGCTAACAAAGGGAAATGATTGAATAGAAAGAAGTTAACTACACAAGAGAATTGATTGAGTGGAAAAAAATATTAACAGATCAGTGTAAATGACGGATTGGAAACGTGTTAACAGTAAACGCTACAGAGACTTTATGTGTAATGTGCTGAGTTGATGTCTATGATAAAGACGATGAATCAAAAGACCTCTATACAAAAACAAGTGACCCCCCCCCCTACCGATGGGGTGATGACTATGATGAAGACGATGAATCAAAAGACCTCTATACAAAACCAATTGACCCCCCCCTACCGATGGGGCGATGTCTACACGCGCGTGCACACAATGCGCCGTGTCACGTGACGGGAATTGTATCCACGCCAGAATTACCTGCACGCGGGGTGCACACAACACACGCGTTGCCATGGCGACGGCTGGGAGGATGAAGAATATGGTGCGCGCTGGGTCGGGTACACAGCGCCTGTGTTGAAAAAGTGCCAATGCAGATGTGCGCGTGTTTACATAACATGGGCGGCATCAAGATTTTCTCTAGGTGGGGACCCTGATGTAAAGGGGTTTGTGGAATACAAAAATTATATGCTGACAAGTGTAGTTCAGAATTAATGCCGATAACACGTTTGCTATTTTGTCAGTGAGGAGATTGCACGTTCGTCTTACAAACGAAGAACCTGGGTTCAAATCCCACAAGAGGTTTACCGGAGTCAATTGGATCACTTGAACACGTTTGACTCTTCCATTGTCTGATCAAAGCCTTGTTTACCAGCAATATTTAAACTTGAATCACTTGAACACATTTCCCTATTCCACTGCCTAATCTAAGTCTTGCTTTAAAAAATATAACAACCGATTGAGATATTTTACATTGTGATTATAAAAGAAGTATTAGGGTCTTTGACTGCAGAAAACTGACAAGGGAAACAACACAGACTGTCAGTTGCTTTATTAAATAAAAGGGAGGATAATTATTTATTTTTTTTATTTAAAAAATATTTTTTAGCATGAGGCAAATTTTAATAGTGACAAACAAACAAACAAACAAAAGCTAAAAATAAAAAATGGCCGAAAGTGGATTTTTTAAGAAAAAAAGTCTCCTATGACATGATGATGAGTCCACTACGACAGACACGATGTCACTTCTGTGGTAATGATGCTCAAAGGGTTTGACGTGAATACTGTTACGTTAGAATTATACAGCAGAATTTTTTTTTAAATCACTTAATTCTGAATTGATTACAACTGGAGGGGGACGGGGGCTTCTCCAAAAAATATCCTATTATTTTTTATTTAGTGATTTTTAACAAGTAGGAAGACATAACGAAAAGATTTTGTAGTTTATAAATATATAAATAAATAGGCCTATAGGCTATATGCCAACACTGTACATACTAGGCTATTACAATTTTTGTCAGAAAGGTCATAAAAAAACAAATACGTAGACAAAGTGAGATAACTGCTGAAAAACGAAATGACTTCTCCATTTATTGCTCTTATATGAAAATTTTGGGTAGAATCTAGGACTCATATAACTGTCTATATACAGTAGTGACTCTCACTGTGGAAGGGAGAGGGTAGTGAAGTTAAGTAAAGGCCATACCCCATAAACTAAGTAAACTAAGAAATAGCTAACGACAAAAATAACTGATTATATATATATATATATATATATATATATATATATATATATATATATATATATATATATATATATATATATATATATACATACATACATACATATTTCACATACTTTGTTAACATACTGGTTTCACATACTGTGTTAACTAGGTATATATATATATATATATATATATATATATATATATATATATATATATATATATATATATATATATATATATATATATTTGCTGTAAAAAAAAAAGCAAAAAGTTATTTTTGAAGAACAGAAGAGACTGACACAAAACAGGACACTAATAAGAAATCACACAATACAAATAAATAATCAACAGCACAAAACACAGCATAACACTCAACAACAGCATAACCGATTTTCTAATCTTTGTCAAATTAATTTTTATTTCTTCTTCTGCTTTTTCTTGTTGTTTTAATTTCAATGTTGGACGTTATTTCTTTCAACTCAATTAAGTTTTACGTGTCAACATCACATGTTTTGCACCATTATGGCCCGCTGAGTCAGATTTCAACCTGTATTTCTTTCTGGATTTGCTTCCATATACTTTGTATATCCCAGAATAAACTACAAAGCAGCAGTTATTTGATTTTGCAGGGCCTCATCTGCCCTTGGGTTTAACTGGGGGCTTTTCGGTTTAGCACCCATAAGCTTTTTAGCTATTTAAATAGTGGTTCATTATCATATGATTAAAGAAAATCATGTATTTTCTACTTTTTAGTGTATAATTATATAAAAGCTTGCTATTAAAAGGTTTTTAAATTAAATTGTTAAACATAATTGTGTGCTTTATATTAGGACTATAAAAATAAAATACAAGCATAATGTTCGTCGTGTAGCTTTTCTGGCAAACGGAAGCAAATCGGGAATTTCCGATATAGGCCAAACTAAAACAAGATACAGATATAGAAATGTAAATGATGAAGTGGCGTTTAAATAAAACAATTTATTGACAATTTTATAGCTGGTGTTATTTTGGGTGATTTTTGTTTTGTTAATCTTGTATTTAATAATACCCATAAATAATGTTTTTTAAATGTATTTGCGATGTATCAGTCACTTCTTAATAGTTTTATGGTTAAATATTTTTGCTGCAGATCTATGAAGTTATGGTTTAAGTTTAAGTTATTATTAATTATTAATATTATTATTATCTTTTAGATTTTAGATAAAATTAAAAACAAACCACATTAATTAATAATTAGTATTATAAATTATTATGATTCAAAATAAACGAGGTAGATCTAGTTCCTTTTTTCCCCTATCCAGATCTAGATGTAGTGTTTTATGATTGTGTAGTGTTGTTTTTGGTTATATGATTGTGTATTATTTAGAAAATGAGGTGGGGGGGGGGGGGGAGGAAGAGAGAAGATCTGAGACAGAAATTTGACTGTGAAGCTCCTAGTTCTACGATACCTTAAATTGAATTTACACTTTACACATTGTTTAGGCGCCTAACATCTTGATTAGACCTAATTGGATTTTTTAAAATCAAGACTTAGATTTAGGCTACCTGAAAATAGAAAATAATAAAATGTAGCTTTTTAAAATATTTTATCAAGTCCTCAACATTTGTATTAGACAGTTAGATCTAGTAGGCCTAATTTTTTATGTTTATATTAGGCCTAATATGTTATGTTTAATACTTTTAAACATCATAAAACTCTGTAAATCTAAATCCAAAATTCTTTGCTATTCGTATTTAGTATTTAGATAATATATATTATATGTCACTTGTTTATGCTGAGTACACAAAGTTAGCATTAAAAAAATTCTATAAAAATGCTAGATCTAGAAAAACTAAACTTGGCTTCAGTTTTTAAAAAATCATTGATTTTTTAATAAAAAAACAACTAAATCATTTAGTTAATTTGTTTAGGTGTTATTTAGTGTTTTTTTCTATGTGATGATATGCATAATAACCAATTTTGTTTTTGTCAGTCATCAAAATCATAGAGACTAGATCTAGATAAAATTATAGGCGTACTACTGCTAGTGGATTAATTAATGTAGACTTATTATTATTATAGTGAATTGTAATGCCTACTTATTAACTACTTAATACTTATGTTTAAATGTATATATCAAAACAGTGCATTTTTTATTCAGCATTCCACACTGCAATATTAAATACCCATTAATTAATATTTATATTTAAAATAAATGAGTAGATTAAAATGAAATCCTTTATTTAATATTTACCTAACAAGCTTTGAAATGCAGTTTAAAGAAAACCACTATTTTCTTTTTAACTGCTTTCTTCAATAAAAGCATTTGTTGCTAAATTATGTAAGAAATTTCATAAGCAGCTTTTTCTACTGAGAATAAATTTTAAAATATCATTAATTTACTTGTAACATTTTATTATTCCTGGTAACTTGCATGATCAAAGTTTTCTAAAAATGTATCATTCAGCAGATAATAGAAAAACAGCAAGTGAGAATTAAACGATGGCTGGTGAACACAAAAACAAAACTTTAGACTACACTTTGCTAGATTCACCACCTCAGTTGCTGGAAGATGCCTTAGTACATGAGTCAAAAACAGTTGAAGTGACCGTTGGGGATAAGGTCAGTTTGGATTGCTGTTGTTAAAAAAAAATCTTTAGCTTGGTTTTTAATTTTTAAAAAGCAATAATTTGTTTAAGTGTCATATAATGTTATTGTTAAATAATTAAGCGTATAAAACTATTTAAAAATCCATATCATTGAGTCTGACAGCCTGTTGTATCATATAAAGCAGTTTATCTTGTTTTCACCCCAGCTTATATAGTGGATATCACTCACAGTTTTGTGAAAAGATCTTTTTCAGTAATTTAAAAAAAAAGCTTTTTACTTTACCATCAAAGTAGGCCTATATAGTATATAGGGTAGACTGTTTAGAGTTAGTTTTTATACTTAGCACATATATTTTAATAATGTTACATTTTTTAGCACACAAAAAACCTATTCAGGTATGAAATGATAACATTTTTTTTTATATTTCAAAATATTCCATAATAAAAAATGTTTTATTACTTGTTAACAGACACTTAAAATCTACACTGAAATCCTGGCCCAAAAAGACTGTAAACCCAAACTTGATGTCCTCTTCCTCCACGGCATGAGCTTCACCTCTAAAAATTGGCTGGACATCAAGTCTGTCTACCATGTGGCTAACTGGGGCTACAGAGCAGTGGCTGTGGACTTGCCAGGTAAGGGCCAGTAGTTTGGTGTTGGACTTGCCAGGTAAGGGCCAGTAGTTTGATTTTAGACTTGCCAGGTAAGGGCCAGTAGTTTAATTTTAGACTTGCCAGGTAAGGGCCAGTAGTTTAATTTTAGACTTGCCAGGTAAGGGCCAGTAGTTTGATTTTGGACTTGCCAGGTAAGGGCCAGTAGTTTGATTTACGACTTGTCTTATGTTTTTTTCCACCTGCATTTAATTTAAAGCAATTGTTCATCGGATTGTGCAAAAGAAGAATGATGATGAGGCTTAGCTGTTCTACCATAGTATTGGGTCAAATCTATATATAGGCTAATATTTGGTCTAGCACCAATTAGATTAGAAATTTCTAGAAAAATGAAGAAATGTGTGTTTAACACTTGAAGAACTCACCTTTTTAAATGTAAACTAGCTTGATATTTAAAATAGCTTAATATTCAGAAATGAAACAAATGAAAAAGGTAGCTTTTTTGTGATTGAAAACTTTGTTTCAAAATTTCTGTTGTAGTTATAATTGGTCTTATAATCTGAGACAACAATAGATTTAGATATTCATGTTGACAGAATTTATCAAATAATTGTTTTGTTTTATAATCTAATGGAGTTGACCTGATTTAATAAATAAGTTCCACATTTTGACCTCAACAACAGGTTTTGGCAAAAGTCTCAACCTCCTGCCCCCAGAGAACGATGGAGAGTTTTTAAAATCTTTTATCTCAGAGCTGGGACTGAAGCCCCCTGTGATTGTATCCCCCTCTATGAGTGGTTCCTTTTCTCTGCCCTACTTGTTTGATGGTGATGTCTCAACAGGTCTGGAGAGGGCAACGGCCTACGTACCAGTTGCTCCAGTTAACACTTCCAAGTATGTCAAGCACTTTAGGACTAGCAAGGTGAGCTATAGATTGGTGTATTGTCAAACTTTGTTATTCACATTTGGTTAGTAAGTAAATGTCAATCAATAGCGGGTTTCACACAAGCTATGTGTGTTGTCTACTTTAAATTTAGAAGTAAATATGAACCTTGACTATTTATCTTTAAACTGAATAATTTATATAACAATGTTTAAAATAGTCTAATATTTATGTTGTAACTATTTTAAAATTTATATTTATTTACTCACACGTCACTGGAGCAATGTAACAGTTTATTAGCTGGTTTGTTAAGAAAAATTATATGGCAATTTGTTTTTGCTTTAAATTTTAATTTCTTGAAACAATAAAATAACCTGACACAGCAAGCAAAAAATATCTATGTGTACACAAATAATTAATTTGTTTGTTTTTGTTGAAACAGATCCCAACCATGATTGTTGTGGGTTCCAAGGATTTGTCCATTGGGGCCAGAAGTACTCAAGACTTAAAGCACATCCCAGACCACTGGTACGCCCCTATAGAAGGTGCCTCTCATGCCTGCTACATGAACAACCCCGATGCCTTCCACAAGTTGCTTTTCTTTTTCTTGAAGAATCTTGAAGTTTTGTAATTGTTGGATCAGAATGTTGAAGTTTTGTAATTGTTGGATCAGAATGTTGAAGTTTTGTAATTGTTGGATCAGAATGTTGAAGTTTTGTAATTGTTGGATCAGAATGTTGAAGTTTTGTAATTGTTGGACCAAAATGTTGAAGTTTTGTAATTTTTGGATCAGAATGTTGAAGTTTTGTAACTGTTGGATCAGAATGTTGAAGTTTTGTAATTGTTGGATCAGAATGTTGAAGTTTTGTAATTGTTGGATCAGAATGTTGAAGTTTTGTAATTGTTGGATCAGAATGTTGAAGTTTTGTAATTGTTGGATCAGAATGTTGAAATTTTTGTAATTGTTGGATCAGAATGTTGAAGTTTTGTAATTGTTGGATCAGAATGTTGAAGTTTTGTAATTGTTGGATCAGAATGTTGAAATTTTTGTAATTGTTGGATCAGAATGTTAAAGTTTTGTAATTGTTGGACCTGAATGTTGAAGTTTTGTAATTGTTGGATCAGAATGTTGAAGTTTTGTAATTGTTGGATCAGAATGTTGAAGTTTTGTAATTGTTGGATCAGAATGTTGAAGTTTTGTAATTGTTGGATCAGAATGTTGAAGTTTTGTAATTGTTGGATCAGAATGTTGAAGTTTTGTAATTGTTGGATCAGAATGTTGAAGTTTTGTAATTGTTGGATCAGAATGTTGAAGTTTTGTAATTGTTGGATCAGAATATTGAAGTTTTGTAATTGTTGGATCAGAAAAGTTGGATTATACGGAAACAAATATCACAGCAGTTTGATTCAATGGTTGGGTTGCTTTGGGTTCTGCTTGCTGGGGAAGTTCATGGTAAATTTGTCGGACATTTAAAGATAAAAATTGCACTGGTGTTTATATTTTAAATTATTGAATAAAATGTTATATGGATAATTAATCATGAATTCAGCAAGCGGTGGTAATTTAATCCTGACTATAGCTAGTATTTTGTGGGCATTTAATCCTGACTCTAGCTTGTATCTTGTAGGCATTTAATCCTGACTATAGCTAGTATTTTGTGGGCATTTAATCCTGACTATGATTAGTGTTCGGTGGGTATAATAATGTTTCCCAATGGTGTTCAATGGGCATAAAATATGGCTTTAAAAAATTGCATAATAGATTTATAGATTTGTTTCTTTGTTTTAAACAGAAATAATTCTACTGTATATATTTTTCATTGACTTGTAAATAATCTATTTTTATAAATTCTGTTGGTTTACATAAGCAGATTGAATTTTTGGTGCTAATAAAATGGTTTGGCCTAAATCTCCCTCTAGTTTGTATTAGGTGTTTCTGTGAGTCTGGCTGTTTACATTTAGCTTGGATGTTATTTATAATTGTCTGTGTGCTATGTTTTGTAACATTTCATGCATGTTAATTTGTTTCTTGCTTAAATAAATCTTAAACACAAAAGAGAGTAATGCAATTGGCCAACATATATTTAAATATAAATAACATCACAGTTTGCCCCAAATACATATACATAAATTAGGAAAAATAAATATAAAATGTGCATTATAATTGATATTTTTGTGTAAATATAAAAATTGGAAATATAATAATTTGTATAATACTGTAATTATTATTTTTATAATATTAAAATGTCATAAAAACAGGATATATATAAAAAAAATTGCCTGAAAAGGATTAAACAGGAAATAAATGCTCAATAAGTTACATAATATTTATACAATATTTTGATAAACATTCAGCTTTTTAAAACTTCTTGTTCAGTAAGAAGAGTTAATATTTTAAGGTGTTTTTTTTTGTACGCTTTATGTATTGATAAGAGGAGAACAAGGGGGTTGGGGGTGTTAACTGATAACATCTCAGCATTCAGAGTCTCTTAATCTTTTTGCCCCTTAAGATATGAAGCCTTCAGATGGAGAACTTGGCAAATTGATTATTTAACATTTCCTGTGAGTCCCATTATCCTGGACAACAGACATCTTTTACCAATACCAGTCTTAAATAATCTGCAGAAGCCTAGGTGAAATACACATATAACACATGAATTAAAATTATTTACATGCAGTTGAATGCTAGGGGTAGCAGTTTTCAGATTTCAGAAGTTGAAATTCGTTAGATAATTTTTCTTAGAATGAATTGAGAAACATTAAATAATTTACTACCCTGTTCATCTGCACTTAGCGATAAAAATGAGCTGTTGAAGGACTTCCCCTATCTCTCTTATTCTGGCGTAACTGGCTCAAGTAATGCTCTTTAGCCTCGCAGACAGGATGAAGAATCAAGCATTTCTGACACCCATATTTTCAAACACCTGGGTTTCTACCTGTCCTTTTCTTCCTCCACAGGTGCATCACACCATCTGGCTTGATTACGGGGGAAGGGGGGGGGGCGGGGGTAGTTGGGTCAACACTTGACCTACTGTCTTGGCCCAGGTTCTGAACTTTAGACTTCCAGGTTGACAATCTTGTGTTTCCCTGCTAGACCATGTGTTGGCTTCCATAGCAACCATCGTTCAAATAGTTTTAAAAATGAATTTTAGTTTTACAGAATCTGTAAATAAATACCACGGTAAAACAATTCATCAGGCAGTGATCGATAAACATTTTGTTGGTCTATATCTTGTAAATTAAGAGTGGCTTCATCGCTACATAATTTCTCTGGCATGTCGGCAAAATCATCTGTTAAAAAAATGAAAAAAAATGAAAATTTAGCTAAATAGTTGGTGTTTTTTGATTAGTTACATAAACAATATCCTTTAGTTCTATTAGTTGTTACATTAATAACTTACTTACCTTCTGTTACAAAAACAGCATCTTCCAAAAATCGAATACAGTCATCCTGCTGTTGTAGAAAATTGTTAGTCTCAAAGCCTCTAGTATCAGCAGCATTGCCTGTTGCATATAGGCTTCATGTTAGTAACAGATTTAGAGTCAATTTGTACCCAACTGGAGATTTATGTCTTACACTAACTTTTGTGTGGGAGATGGGTAGTATACAGGAAGTAACTAACCTGAGGGGGAGGGGGGTTGTATCACTAGGGAGTTTATGTCCTGCTCCCACCTAACATTAACACATATAAAAAGAACAATGCCATAAACAAAGTTAAACTATTTAAAAACTAATCACCTTGCTGGTCATATGTAAACACTTTGGTTTGAAATGTCAAAAATCTGGACTTGTATTTGTCTGGAGGATTCACTGATATTGTGTTCTGAATTGACAAAAACTAAATTACAGCATAAAATAAAATGTCTTAATTTTAATTAATGTTTAACTACACTCCCTCAATATTTAAATCAATATACAATTTAATTTAAAATGCATTCATTAAAAATTACAATAAAACTATGGGAAAAGTAGTTTTGCACTACTAATTCAAACTTTAAAAAAAAAATCTTTTTTGTGAAATAAAAAAAATACAACAGAACCAGGGGGAAAATATTTTATTTTTTAATAATTTAAAAAAATTATAGTTACCTTATTTGAATAGAGTCATTTAAAAAAATACAATAAAACTAATGGAAAATATTTTACTTTTTAATAATTTAAAAAAATTATAGTTACCTTATTTGAATAGAGTCATTTAAAAAAATACAATAAAACTAATGGAAAATATTTTATTATTTAATAATTTTAAAAAAATATAGTTATCTTATTTGAATAGAGTCATTTAAAAAAATACAATAAAACTAATGGAAAATATTTTATTATTTAATAATTTTAAAAAAATATAGTTATCTTATTTGAATAGAGTTATTTAAAAAAATACAATAAAACTAATGGAAAATATTTTACTTTTTAATAATTTAAAAAAATTATAGTTACCTTATTTGAATAGAGTGATTTAAAGAAATACAATAAAACTAATGGAAAATATTTTACTTTTTAATAATTTAAAAAATTATAATTACCCTATTTGAATAGAGTGATTTAAAGAAATACTCCAGCCTCTTTTTGACCCCATATGACTGCAGGATGTCGATGATGCCAAGAAAAATAAATACCTGCTCACCATCAGCATTCAGGGCAGGGATACCCCCAGGCCTGCAACAGTTGAATCCTTATATAACAACTGTTATTGATTGTTATGATTAATTATTTAAAGCAATAGACTACGCCAAAGAATATTTTGAAATTATATAAACAATAAAAAGACAAAATATTTTCTGGTATTCTTTGTAATGAAGGCAATTTTTTTATTGACAACAATGTTTGCATTTTATCAAAATTCAGTCATTATAAATTGGTAAAACCTACGGAATGTCCTGAGGTTCTTCCTGACCATCAGTAAAATCCAGGTTGCAGTCCAATGCAATGGCTTCAAGAGGTGTTGAAAACAAGCTGATTCTGTTCCTAGATGCTAAAGGGTTAATACTTGAACGTCCTTCTGCTGTAAGTGAGCTAATTGTTCCGTCTAAAAATAAATTTAATTAGTCTAGTAAAATTCTAACAGGGTTGGATGACAAAGGGATAAGAAGACAAGGAAGGCCTAGGGAGACAGAAGAAAAACAACTGGGGTGAGTTCAACTGTCTTAGTGGACTGGAAGTTGAAAGAACTTTCTGAGGTTACCCCATGTATTGTAGGCACAGATGGGAAAAGATGATGATAAACTCTCAAACATTTTTAAAGTGAAAATATTTTCAATTGGTAGGCTACTGCTACAAAAAAAAACAATAAATAAAAAAAAAAAAACTTGATATCTGAGACAAACTTAGAGAAGAGTTTATATTTAAAAAATGAGTAGACCCAAATAATATTCACACTCAGAAGCTAATTTATAAACATTGTTTGTAGGCCTACTTTGTGTTAAGAAAACTGCATTCGTAGATTCATGGATAACACACTCATCAACATCCTCCCAGCCATCTGTTCCATCCGTTAAATCCCCATGAAAAGACTGCCAGAAAAAAAATATATTCATCTTTTTGTGTTTTGTGCATAAAATATATTTAAAGATTACTGGTGTTCTACTAACATATTTGAGTATTCAGGATAAAATTATTAGGCCAAATTAAATAATTAAATTATTTATTTAAAATAAAACTAGTTGTTATTCGGTAGAATTGTATATTTGCGACACAATATAAACAATTAAGTTTTTTATATATATATATATATATCTTTATATATATATATATATATATATATATATATATGTCAAAATTTAGTTAAATACTATTTAAACAATAAATTGTTTTACCCCAAAAGATCCATCTGTTTTGTAAACACCTATCAATAAACTGTAGTCCATAATTTTGAAGCTCTCCAGCACCTAAAAATTAGATAAAAAATATTTACTGTAAGAATACATTGAATACTTTTTAATGCCATATTTTTAATCATTTAAATCTTGAATTAGGCCACTTTGTTTAAACAGAAATTCTTCATGGACATTTTTAAATTACCCGACAATCTCTTGTTAATGTCTGTATCAAAGCTTTGTAAATTTCTTTATCCAACAAAAATCCTTTAGCATGGTGCTCTAGTAAATCCAGATCTTTAAATGTAGGTGAGGATTTCTGGCACTCCTTTACTGAAGCTTTCCTACCATAAGTGCTGCCTTTGATGTCATATTTCTCTTGTAGAGACAGGGAACTTGGGAGCCAGTTGTTCATGATGACAAAAGTTATAGTTTTACATCCACTCTGAGAAGTTTTCAAAGGTACTGAGAATTACGTACAACACTAAAAATATTTATTCTAAAAATAGTGTGTTAAAAAAGGATAAATTTGATGAATAAACATCTGGAAACTGTTAGTATAGTCAGGTGATCAGCACAACTACTGTAAGGTCAAGATTTCACCTGTAGTGGTCTCATGATGTGGAAATTATCCCAATGCCCAGTTGTTAATTTCTCACACAGCCTCCTTATTAACTTAAGGGGTTTGTGACTAGCATTGCTATGATTCCTTTACTACATCTTGATCAAATGTGGACATTACCACATTTAATTGCAAATTTTGACTCACATTAATATGGACTTTATCTCATCTAAATGTAGTTTTTACCATGTCTTTTATGAAAATTAGATCTGATTCAAACTAGATCTATATCATAATCGTTTGTCTGTTTTTAACAGAAACTCTATTGAACAGTTATGAAAGCGATTAGGAAAAATTTGTTCTAACTTAAACTAACCTTGTATTGATAAAGCCCATAAAATTTGGGGAGCAAAGTTTGCTTGTTTTCCTGAATATTCTGTGATACAAAACATCAAACAAAATTAAAAATTGATTCAGTTTAATTAGTTAGCTATAAAATATTTTAACATTGTACTTTTGGAACATTAAGATAAGCTTAAACTGGTTTTTAAAAGTTCAAATGTACCCTAACAAAAATGTTAAAATAAACTAAAACCTAAAGCATAGCCTTTGCTATTTCATAGTGTATAGTATATATATACTTATAGATCTAGTATAAATTAAAGTTGTTTTGTGGCTTATAAAAAGAATGTTATTAAATAATATCTGCAACCAATCAACAGCTATAGTCATAGTAAAAGAAAACTTAAACTGCAATCAACTTTTATTCTAATACAAAGCACAGTCATGCTAAATAAACAAAACAAAATAAAATCCATATACATTTTTAGTGTTACTAAGAACAAATAAACTTAACAAAGACAAAAACATAACTATAAAATAATGAGTTAGCTATAAGTTTAGAGAAACAAAGGTATATTTTTTTACCATAAAATACTGAGGCAACAACTGCACTAAAAACTTGGCCTCTTTGATTGAAACAGTTTTGATGATGAATTCATTGTTATGTGAGAAGTAGAAGGCGCTGCCACTAGCCCCAGGGTTGGCTATCTCTCTCAGGGGGCAAACACATACAGCACGCTAGAGGATACAGGTTGCTGTGTTAGATTTTATTCTTTGTATGTGTGTAGGGGGTGGGGGGAAAACATACAATTTTTTTCTTTGGGCGTGTGTAGAGGGGGGGGGGGGGGGACACCGACACATACTACATGCTAAAAGATACAGGTTGCTCTCCTAGTTTTTTTTTCTTATATTGTGTATGTAAATGGGGGGGGGGGGGGGGGGGAGTACACACAGCTTACTAACAGACAAAGTTTGTTCTTTTATTTTTTCTTACTGTGTGTGTGTAAGGTGGGATGTTGGAGGGATATAGAGCATGCTAGAAGATATTGTTTATACAAATACATTTAAACTAAATATATATGTATATATATATATATATTTTTATATAAATTAACAATAGAAGTGAAATTTTAAAATTATGCTGCTGTGCATAAATATTTTTATAATGTTCCAATAATAAAACAAAGCGAATAATGATAAAAATGATAGCTATAGTGCCTACCTTAAAGCTGTCTGGGTTTATCCCAAATAATTGTCGAAATCGTTGAAATGCATTGGGTGCGATTGTCTTGAAGTAAAAGTTTCTGTATTTGTGAGCAGGAGTTAAGTGACTTCCTTTTCTTAAAAATAGAGAATTATAACATTCAAGCGTTAAATTTTAAAATATAAAACCTAAGATAGAACATAAAAATGGTCATTAAAACTGAAAAATGTGTACAGATGTCATCACTCTTGTCTTTTTTTGTGTGGGATGGCAGAGTGGTAGAGCACTCACTAGAGAGCCAAAATTTCATTTAGGTCTCATACAGAAGTTTACGTTGTTAGGATGATCCTCAGTCCACTCAGCTCTAAAGGGTACCTTTTTCTAGGCATGTTGCTGATAAAGTAACTGATGAACTCTATTTCTCCTGCTCTACCTACCCCCAAGAGCACTTTACTATTTTCTTATCCTCGTGCAAAAAAAAAAAATAAATAAAAAATAAACGTATAGGCTAAAACAGGTTACAAGAATGTTGATTTTTTAAATTTATTTTTTGGATGCAAAAAATTAATTTAAATTAAACTTAGCTGAGGTATATTTTCAAGGGAAGTAAGCCAAGCATACCTCCACAAACTTACCGTGGATAGTAAACTTGGTGGACTTGATTGAAGTCGGTCATGAGAAGACCTGCATCGCTGTCATGACTTGCCACGCTGTTATAAATGCCAATCTGTATCGATTCTTTATATCCTTCAGTCGTTTTCTAGAGCAAAAATAAAAAAAAACCCAATGGAAAAATAATTATAAAGATCTCGGATTCCTGTGATAAATTTAAAAACATTATATATAGATCTACGTACTGCTTAAATTTATCACAGAAATCGCACCCATTTTCTACGTAAAACTAAAAATGTAAGAGCATTGCGTTTAGATTTTGTTCACAATTAAATTAAGGGAGAGTAACCGAGTATTTTATATTTTGAACTAACAATTTAATTTCTTTTACCTCCCTTTATGATGTAACTTAAAAAAAGCATCAGAATATTTTTTTTCACCGGCGTAGAAAGGGAGTGTTGGAGTAGACCCTGAGGGGCCCCTCCCCCGTGTGTATGTGAGTTTGCTGATTTGTTTTTGAGTCCACCAACTTTAGAAAAACAAGAATCGAGAAACTCTATAAAACAGTTGGACTTACAGCCACACATCTTGGCTTGTGTTTTTTCTTCTTTGAGTAGAGCAGGGTCGGCATTTGGTCTCAAACAACGTCAGTGATCTGGTGACATTGAACTAGTTAGTTGTGTGTAACAACTTCAATATAATTGTAGTTAGTTGTGTGTTACCTGGTCTAATATAACTAGTTATATGTGTAACATGGTCTAATATAACTGTAGTTAGTTGTCTGTAACATGGTCTTATACAGCTGTAGTTAATTATGTGTAACACGGTCTAATATTACTGTAGTTATAAATGTGTAACATTGTGTAATATAACTGTAGTTATAAATGTGTAACATTGTCTAATATATCTTTAGTTATTTATGTGTAACATGGTCTAATATATCTGTAGGTACTTGGACAAAAATGTATAGAACTTCAACCAAAGCTCAGTGTGATTTAGCTGTCAAGTTACGTTTCCTCTGTTTGTTGTCGTGGTTCCCAAAATGTTACATAGCCTAATATAACGAAGGCTGGTCTATGTCAGTTTTATATTACATGGGGCTTAACGCCATTTACTACGTGCATGATCCTTAACTATAACCTTCATGTCTGAGGTAAGGGCCTTTCTCTCCTTTCGCTCAATATGCAGATGGAGTAGAGTTCGCCTATTTCTATGACCTCGGTATTTCAGTTATGTGTTCAGCACTACGTTCAGCCAACTTCCATTGACTTGAGTCTGGTACCCATTAGAGCTGGATGAACTCAGAGATGTTTGTGCATGCTGTACATCTGTATAGAGAGCTTCATACATAGATAAATGCTCTTAACCAGGCATATAAGGGGGGGGGGGGGGTAGGTCAACACCTGTATATGGGGGGAGGGGGATCAACACCTGTTGTCAACAGGCGCGGTTAGTGCTAGGTAGAAAACATGCTGTTCATCACGTTAAGTGCGCATTTTCTACACTCAAAATTTTTCCGGGTTTGTTTCAAATCTTTAAATGACTGAAATAAGCTACCTCTGCTACAGCTAAATTAGATTCATTGTTCATCATTTTAAAATCCATCTGTCTAGAAACTAACTTTAATATTAAACTTAACGCTAAACTTAAGTGTAATATTAAAAACCTAGCATTAGGTTAACCGCATTGGTCATCGTTCGTCCAGTCAATGCGGACAAAGTTCTGGACAAGTGAAGTCAGAGGAGGAAACAGACGAAATTTCACGTTTGTCATCCACACTACAGGCAGACTACAGGCAGACTACAGGCAGGCTACAGGCAGACTACAGGCAGACTACAGGCAGACTAGAGGCAGACTACAGGCAGATTACAGGCAGACTACAGGCAGACTACAGGCAGACTACAGGCAGGCTACAGGCAGACTACAGGCAGACTACAGGCAGGCTACAGGCATACTACAGGCAGACTACAGGCAGACTACAGGCAGGCTACAGGCAGACTACAGGCAGACTACAGGCAGGCTACAGGCATACTACAGGCAGACTACAGGCAGACTACAGGCAGGCTACAGGCAGACTACAGGCAGGCTACAGGCAGACTACAAGCAGACTACGGGCAGGCTACAGGCAGACTACAGGCAGACTACAGGCAGGCTACAGGCAGACTACAGGCAGACTACAGGCAGGCTACAGGCAGACTACAGGCAGGCTACAGGCAGACTACAAGCAGACTACGGGCAGGCTACAGGCAGACTACAGGCAGACTACAGGCAGGCTACAGGCAGACTACAGACAGACTACAGGCAGGCTACAGGCAGACTACAGGCAGGTTACAGGCAGACTAGAAGCAGACTAGAGGCAGACTACAGGCAGAATAGAGGCAGACTAAAGGCAGGCTACAGGCAGACTACAGGCAGGCTACAGGCAGGCTACAGGCAGACCACAGGCAGACTGCAGGCAGGCTACAGGCAGACCACAGGCAGGCAGGCAGGCTACAGGCAGGCTACAGGCAGACTACAGGCAGGCTACAGGCAGACCACAGGCAGACTACAGGCAGACTGCAGGCAGGCTACAGGCAGGCTACAGGCAGACTAGAGGCAGGCTACAGACAGACAAGAGGCAGACTAGAGGCAGACTACAGGCAGGCTACAGGCAGACTACAGGCAGGCTAGAGGCAGGCTAGAGGCAGGCTATAGGCAGACTAAAGGCAGACTAAAGGCAGGCTACAGGCAGACTACATGCAAACTACAGGCAGACTACATGCATACTACAGGCAGACTACAGGCAGGCTAGAGGCAGGCTATAGGCAGACTAAAGGCAGACTAAAGGCAGGCTACAGGCAGACTACAGGCAGACTACAGGCAGACTAGAGGCAGACTAGAGGCAGACTAGAGGCAGGCTACAGGCAGACTACATGCAGACTAGAGGCAGACTAGAGGCAGACTAGAGGCAGACTACAGGCAGAACGTTTTATTTCTGAGCCGCTAATTTATTAAAGCACTTACCAATTAAGTGGCTGTGTACTACTATTCAAAATATAATATTCTTAGACCCGTAGCTACCTTATAATATTCTTAGACCCGTAGCTACCATATAATATTCTTAGACCCGTAGCTACCATATAATATTCTTAGACCCGTAGCTACCATATAATATTCTTAGACCCGTAGCTACCATATAATATTCTTAGACCCGTAGCTACCCAATAGAATGTTATATAAGGGAAGGTGTGGTCGAATTGTAGAGCTTATGAGTGCAAACCCGAAAATCTCGTGTACGGAACCCGGGCTCGAGTCTGTAGGACCTCCCTGAGTCCACCCAGCTCTAATGGGTACCTGATTCACGTTAAGTAAACTAAATTGGCTGGACATAGTGCTGACCGCACTATACTCTTGTATGCCGAGGTCACTGCAACAGATAAACCCTACTTAGTTTCAGTGTTTCTTCCAGACTTTTTCTGGGGGGGCACTTGATATTTTCGGGTGGCGGTCAACATTTTCTGGGAGGGATGGGGGGGGGGGGGCGGACACTAGTAAAAGTATATTTTTTATTATATAAATTTCAAAATGTGTGTGTCAAGATGGTCACCTTACTCACCAAAATAGTTTAAAGACCAACTTTACTGCAAAAACAAGTCAAATGTACCTTCTTACAACATTGTTCTCTAGAACAGGCGTACCCCTTTAACAGAATCATAAACCGCTCCTAACGCAAACGTGTGTTATCATAGGACCTACATGCAATATATATATTAAATAATAATTACACATCTTTAAAAACATCGACAACTTACCATACAATAATATCTTGATATTTAGAAATCCAATATTTTATTTTAAATATAAAATGTTTTATTTTAAAGCCGTCAACAAAACATATGTTCACACGATAACAGAACAACTTCTTCAGGTAAAGTTATTTAGGAGATCTGCTTGCAACTTGTACACTACGCGACAGATATAAAAATAGATTTCTTTTCAACTAGCAGTCACACCACATACCTGTGCTCGGTGGATATTTGAAGGTGCAGTGCCTTGTGACCACAGGTAGAAATTTTCCAGGATGTGTTTTTAAAACCAAAATAAAAGTCCGCCCCCCGCCCTGGACCTGGAAACCCCAGTTACGTCACAGTCAGCTGACGGGTTGTTACCGGTTGTGGGAAGGGGTGGATAACGTTGTTACGTAGGTTGGATCACGTCATACCAGTAGGTAACCGTGTGTCACGTCACACAGATAGATACTTTGTCACG